ACTTCTGTGTTGTCGGGTATTTCAACCCTGGTCCGTTCTCCCTATCGAACACTATTGCGAGGTGGAACAAGGTTCTTTCCTCCGGTCTCTTCTCAGTCGCGAGGTCACTCTTGGCTATTACAGGGAGTCGAGGGGTCTCATCTCATGTCCGCACCTCATGCTCTGAGCTGATTATCATTGAGTCGTGACTCGCGATTCTCAAGTCGTGACTCGCGATTCTCAAGTCGCGAGTGTTGTTGTCGACTGGTCCTCGTGTGCTAGCTAACTTTGGGCCTGTCTTTGGGGTTCCCTCTTTGAGAAGGTTGGGGTGTACACTGACCGTCGACTCTACCCCGAGGTGGGGTCCGGTCCTGGGGAGGGACTGGGACCTGAGAGTTTCCCACACTCCGAGGAGGAGAGCAATGTGCACCCTGGTGCTGTTGCTGATGATGGACCTGGTGTTGGTTCTAGTTCTGATTTTGGTTTTGACCCTGGTTTTGATACTGACGTGGTTGTTGGTTCGGATGCATTGGTGGAAATTGCTGCTAGTACTGTTGGTAGAAATAATATTGCTGAAGTTGTTGGAATTGATGTATCTGCTACATCTGAATATGCATAGTTCGAACGCTCTGGACCAGGTCGTCGAACTGGTGGAGCCCAACCCCAGGAGGAACCACTGAGGGCTCTGGAACGGAAAAAGTGGTGCTCACCTGGGGCAGCAGGACATTCAGTTGCTGACTCGTCTGCTGCATCGAAATAGTTGGGATCCCCGAGGCAGTAAGGGGAATAGTGAATTGTCCGATGGTCATTGAGGAGCCTTGGGGGTATTCTGCTGTGTGGTCTTGCCCCCTAGTAACGCCCATATTGACGCCCTTGCTAGTGTTGCTTGAGGATGCCATCGAAAGAGAATAAGGTGATGAACGAGATGTAAGGTTGATCTTTTGATTGTTTCCCATAGACGGCGCCAATTGATCATGCGCGACTTGGATGCTCCTAGCTGTAAGGCAGCTTGGACGTCGGTTGCCAAGTGGATTGTCCAAACTGCAAGAATGAAGGTTTAGAGAAGCCAGGGTGACTAACCCGGTGAGGTCGCTCCGATGCTTAAGTTAGTACTCGGTAAGTAGATGCGAACTGGAAATCAGTAAAATAGAGAGCTAGAATGCACTTAATCACGTGTACCTTGTGTAAGGGGATTCAATGCCCTTATATAGTTGAATTGCCGTGAGCCCAAAAGAGCCTCTCTGGGATCTTCGGAGCAGGTGGTAGGAGTTCGTTCCATTTTAGATGGTGACCAACGTACTAGCTGATAAGGCTTATCGCTTCCATCCGATTTGGGCGGGATGAGGATAAGTGCTACAGTTACATAATATGATCCTGAAAGGCTCGGGGACAGCTGGCAAGCTTCTAGATTCCACTATGTTTCACTTTGGTGCATGTGGCTACCGAGGTCCCCCAACTCTGGTTCTGTCCGAGGTGACTGAGGTACCCGAAGTGGCCCGGTCTGCCGAGGTGGCGAGAAGTGTTGAGTGATTGCCTGGCTGAAAGGTCACGTCCACGTGTCTTCTATTCATTAGGTCGGGTCAAATCACCCCTCATCAGAAGGGAAAGATAAGGAAACCTTTACAAACCTTGTATAGGTTTCCCTGTCTTTCCCTTCCTTTTTTTCCTTCAAACCAAACAGTCTTAGGGGTTAAGATTCCGTCTAATGAGCTCTCACAAGTAAACTTGGATCTCCATGCATTATGTATAACGAGACGAGTAGAAATACATGGCATGCATGAAGACAAGGAATCCGGATATTGTCCTCACATGTCATCACAACACTTGGCAGCCGTGCATTCGAAATATCTCTCCATGAATCAAAGCATACAAGTATGGAGATGTTCTCAATGCGATCCAGACTCCTCCCAAAATGTCACAATATTTGACAATAAAACTTGTAGATTTTCCCAAAAATATAAATAATCAGATTAAATAGTTAAGTCAGTAGGGACTTAGGGGTTGGGACAGTGCAAGGTTGCAGGCGTACTGGCCATACCATGGAGAGCCTGTAGTTCCACGAGAGATGCCGAGTTAAGCATCTCAGACTCGGCTAGCAGGAGGCCATCAACTTGCACACTGGAATAGAAATCACGATCAAAACCTGATAGTGATAGACCGAACTTCTGTTTAGCTCTTCCACTCTTAAATTCAATTGCCACTTCAAACCTGTGACCGAAATCACAGATTCTGCACTAGCACTTGCACTTCAAACCTGTGAAGTACTTAATTTTTGGCATCCAAACCTAATTGCTTGTTCAAATAGATACCCAAAACAGCTAAAACTACTAATTTAATTGTGTAACCAGGGAACAATTTCTTTGGGGAACACCAGGACTGGGTATTGATGTAATTTGAAGCAAATGATGTTGGCAGCTGACAGAGTGCTGCTGTCTTCTCTTTATCCTTTCCGGAGATTGAGGAGATTTCTTTCATTTCATTAATAAAATTCACGGTTAATGATCAAAAAAAAAAAAGTAAAAGACTTAAACCTCCCCTCTTATTTCCCATAGGACTTTAACCTCCCTTGTCATAATAAGATACTGTTAAATTTAACAGAATCAGTAAAAAGACTTTTCTGTCCATTATTCTTTAAAATTTTAAACCAAACCACTGAAACCGCAATCCAACGAAAGTGTCAGGACGGGATGGCCCTACTGAAAAACGAAGTAATTGTAACTTCACATAAACTGATAAATAAAAAATCTTCTAATCCCACATCACAATATCAACAACAATCGGACACTTCATTTTCTGTTAATTATTCTATTTTGAGATCCTTCGCTTTGTTGCCATCGTTCAAGACTTCAAGTGCAAGTGCAAGAATCTCTGCGGAGAGCACAGGTACCTGGAGATGCACGCCAAGGCTAATCCTGTGATCAAGTCTAACAAAATTCACAAATCACAAGTTCTGAGAGACTAGAATGGAAGTCTTCAGTCCATTCGTCTCATCTTTTTTTCCTTTCTTTTTGCAGAGGGTATTTTTATTTTTAATTTCCCCACTCCAAATCAGAACCGGATGGCTTCAATAATGGTTTGATATTCCTTTTGTTAGTGAAAGTTTGAATAACATATAGTTTTGTTAATTGAGATATTGATTACTCAAATAAGGACCTTGGAATTGATTACACCGCCCAACTTCATCGTTAACTTCCGGTCACTTCTGGTATGACGTTTTATGGAACGATGGAGGGGTATTGGCCGGTGCTTTGAGTTTACTTTCTACTTAGTATGGGATGTTAGGGTTCTTCTATTGTAATGGTGTTGGTGCTAGTGATATTTGTTCTGCAAAGTTCTCTTCTTTCTCTCTCTAATCTATAAGTATATACTTAAAGCATTGAGAAGGTGTACGGCGGCATTTGGAGGTTGACACATAATTTGCTTTTGGCTTGACAAACATACTCTAAATTATTGACACATGTTTCTCCCTCCCTTCTCTCCTTTATTCTCTCTCTCTTCTCTTTAGTGTGGAATTCAAAAATTACAAGAATGCCACATACAAGGCAAACCTACCTTGCCATGTATTTGACTCTATGATATTGAAAAATTACAGAAATGACAGGACAAACCTCCTTATGTAATTGATTTTATGGCACTCAAAAATACCATCCCATAAATAAAATGCCATCACTCTTTCTTGATTTCCTCTCTCCTCCTATTTCCCTATCTCAATTTTTACTTATTCATATATTTATTTTATTATTATTATCTAAATATTTATTTATTTATTTAGAAATAATTTACTAAATTATTAGAGAGAGAAAGGGAAATAGGAGATAATAAGTAAAAGTTTATTGGGATGGGATCGGTATAGGCTATCTCAATTATTTATTTATTTTATTATTCAATTTACTAAATTATTATATAAACATTAATTTATTTAAGAAAAACTAGGGTTGAACCAATGGGTTGGGTCTATCTTGATGGAGCTAAATTGACTGAACATAATTACAACAGTTTCGGTTCCATGATTTTGTCTTGATCAATTATTGGGTTGATTCTCATTCTTACTTGTCTAGAATTGATTCAGGTCCGGAACCAAATATTTTATGAAGTATATAATTTTTTATCTTTCTTGTAATTTGTATCATGTTTCATATTTAAAATAGTAAATTTGATAAATAATAAATAAGATAATATTAGTTAATGTTTAACTTGTTAACATAAAAATAAATTAGTATTATTTTAACTATTGTTTTCAATATAATCAGGTCTATGATTTGATCCCAATTAAATAATTGGTTCAAGACTGGTTCTACCTAGTCGTGACTTGTTGATAACCCTAAGCCAGATTGGGACCCACTATAGTTATTTATTATTCATAATAATATAGTTATAGTTATTTTATTTAAAAATATATAACCTAATTTATTATTGTATCTCCAAATGGCATTTTTCTATTTTGCCCTTGGGAAGCAAGGGCTTCCCTATTAGTTTTGGGATTAAAATAAAGAGAAAAAAAAAATGAGACTTGGGAAATAAAAGAGAGGATTCACTAGGTAATATGCAGTGGATTTACCAAGATTTTGGATGAAATAAAATGCATACCATCTCCAATGGCAAGAGAATGATTCGTAAGCACAAGGAGGTGAATACAATTTTACGATTTCAGGTGGTTTTCTAAATCATGGCTAGAGGGACATTTTGGGGTTTTAAAAATTTTCAGGCACATGTGATATAACATTCAAACGAATCTTGATGGGTTTTTAACCGAAGAGAGGTCTTTGTCTGATGACATCACCCAACAGGGAGGTCTTAATCCGTTTTATAAATATAGGGGTAGTCTTAATATTTAGCATAAATATTAGAAAAGGTTTAACTCTTTTACCAAAAAAAAAAAAATCCTGCTGGTCTAATCTCCAGGTTGAATGATTCAACCCTGGGGAGGGCCTTAGTCTTTTAGTTCCCTTCTCAGTTTAGCAAAGCACCTCAACTTGTTCACATTGGGTGCCTAATGCCCTTTTAACTTTCAACAACTAGACTAAGTACTTAATCACTAGAGAAATTCTTAAATTGACCTCTTTCCTTTACTGTTCTATTTTCATCTAGGTAACAAAGAGTCACTTCACTAAGATAATACATTACATAAAAGATCTGTAGCATCTATCCAATCAAGTTCAGCAAACGCTCTGTACAATTTCATTTTGCACATACCTTCATGAACCATCCTGCTTTGGCTTCCGGCTCAGTTCTGAGTAATGACCACCCATTAGTTGCAAAATCTCTTCCCAAAGGCCTGATGAAGAATCCTGTGAACCCCCACAAATCAAATTTGCACTACATGCGGCAACATACCAGTAATCTGATTCAATCTCCTCTCTTAACTGATCAAGCTGCCATCCTGCATATCCAACAAAGAACCTAAAATCTTGAGCCCTAAGCACCCCTCTCTTTACTAGCCCTGCAGCTTCGTCCAAACTGTTTCTAGAACCAAAACACAGTCCAGGAATCACTTGTTCAAAACCTGGAAGTTGAAATTTCTCTCCGGTCTTTAACAAGAACATGCTAGCTTCTAGTGGCCCTCCAAAATGCAAAGAGCAATCTGCAAAGGTAGTTGCAAGGTCAAGATTTGTGGGCTTCATGTGCTTAATTCTCTTGGGAAGCGGGCGGTTGATGATGACACCAAATGGTCCCTCATACGGGCGTTTGGTTCCAGATCTGAGGAGCAGGACAACAGTTCTTTCAAAGGCACGAACACCATCAAGCTTCTCGGTGGCAACCAGAACACAACCAGTCTCAGGTACAGGAATTGGGTGGGCCCATTTAAGGCCAAGTGACCTGGTTGGCTCATGGTAGACCCTATCTTGAGCAGAAGAATCAGAATCTACATTTTGCACCTGGAGAAGGATTCCGGTGTAATTTCCCATTAACTTTGGAGGTTGTACTCATACTAATCATCAACAACATTAGGAAATGGGCCGGTACATAGCTTACAAAGGTGAATAGATCATGCAACCATTGTTGTGCCAAGATCATATAAGCAATATGTATTTTACTTGTAATGTGAGAAACCAACTTAAACACTTTGGGAGCATTATCTCAAGTTAATCAATGAATACCATGCACCGATGAAGAGGGCAAAACTACAACGGAAGGCAGCTGGGGTAGCAACTATCTGGACAATTTGAGAAAGAAGCGAAAGATTATTCAAGGATAAGTGCAGGAGCCTAGAGGACATTGTTGAAGGCATAAAGATCAAGACAGCAAACTGGGTAAAAAGCTTTCCAAAAAGTTGACAGTGGGTGATATCCTCAGAGCTTGGTTTGGAGTAGCAAATTCATCTGCTGTGAAGAACAAAATAATTATGGACTGCTTGCCCCCTCTGCCTAATAGAATAAAATTAAATTTTGATGGAAGCTCAATAGGAAATCCAGGACTGTCAGGAATTGGAGCTGTGCTTAGGGATGCTACAGGGAAAGTGGTGACTTTGTTTTCTGGGCATTGATAAATAGTAATAAGAAATTATTTAAGCACTAATAACTTAACAATGGATATGGCATTAACACAATGAAATGGTGAAATAGGATTCATATGGCTGACCTTCATAGAGTTGGGATAAGGCTTAGATGATGATGATGATGTAGTCATATATTATTGTTAGGATAAGCAGAAAAATCTAATGTAGGTAAGATAAGCAAGGACATGAAAAACAAGGTTTCTGTTTAATGCTTATACAAGCTGAAAAACATTATACTTGAAGCAGCAACAGAACTTGTTACAACTATCGTTGCTAAATAAACACGTGGAAGTCATTCCTATAGAAAATTTTGAGGATAATTAAACCAAGAGAAAGGAGGAAAAGAAAGTCATTGTTAGAGGAAAACCGAATCAACAAGCTTCAGTGCTATTACAAACATGGTGGGATATAATGCAGGAGCTGAAGAATCAAATTTGGAATTTTCTGAAATTTTCTATATTTCTGTATATTTGGACAGTATGGGTATTTTCGTCATTTTGACCAGTCCCATGTGAGCTTGGGCTATAGCATCTTGTTCATCTGGATTAGTAGTGTTTCTCTTTCAAATTTCAGTTTATTTGCATTAGCAGGTAGGAAGTTATTATGTTTCTTGATGCACAAGACCAGAAGTGGCTTTTTTGTAATTACGGTGAACAGTATTCCGGGCCACACAAGTCACTCTATAAATATATGTGTTCTCTTCCTTTTGAAGCAAATGAAGATTTCTTTAGAGCTCTGTTGCAAGTTTTGCTGTATGGAGTGATTCCTACAAACCCTAGAGTGATTCCTTGGGATTTCTCTCTTTTCTCTTCCTCTCTCTCTCTCTCTCTCTGTCTTGTGATAGTTTGTTCCAGCCCAACTGCATCAGGATCCATGAAGATACCCACTACAATAATAATCTTAAATTTTCCATTGGGCATACTCTGTCTGTATTGGTACAGAAGTTAGCCTGATGCATGCTATCAGTCCTCAGAATATAAATTCATTTTCTTTAATAATTATTACTTGTGAAGTTATGATGCCCAGGTATGGGTACGGACATGGACATGGATATAGGAAACAGGGATACAACTCTCCATTTTCTAAAATACCGAACACAAATATGAATTTGTGTATGCCAATTTAATATGCTTATATCATGGATTTATCTCTCTAGTTTTTGAAGCTAATCTTTTTTTCATTTTTTTTCTTTTGAAAAGGGTAAAGTATGATTCATTAAAAGAAAGAAAAAAAATAGAAATATAAGAAGAGGCCCACAAAACCAAAGATGGACCAGACAAAGCAAGGGCCAAATCACTTGGCCCAAACAAACACAAAGTGACGCTTATCTTGCCAAGTTTAATTAAATTTCAAAACATGTGTAGATTTTTTAATAATATAATTTGTTAAAATATACCAATTAAAATATTTTTTGATGTTATATAGTACATTAGAAGTAACTATGCGATTTTGATATGTATCCAACAGGACTGACACCAGTAGTACACTAGGCATGTACAGGTATCTGGCAGGGTATCATAATTGATCAGAGCTTCACATCCTGTATTGCATGATGAATACTAAGATATACCAATACATTTGATATGTGATGTTAAGATGATGGAATACCAGTGTATTATGTAGTTTAGCATTTGTATCTTTGTGAAACTGATATATATATATATATATTGAAATGTATATTCAATTTGGAAGGGTACTCTTAAGGCATGCAATAACATGGCTCTAAATAGTTGAAAAGATACCATAATAACAAGGAAAATTTGATTATCAAAACACAAAACATATCTTTCTCAAACAACAAAAGGAGCCATTTTTGTAGTAAATGACCATTAAAACTACAAAAAAAATGACTATAAAATTAGATTGTTTAAGTTCATATAAAGATGTCTACAATTATGGACTTGGCCAGCATGAAGATCACCATAATATTCACATATTATGGTCAAATTGTATCAGAGTCAGCATCAAGTATAGAGGCTACCTACAACTAGGGGTGCAACTTGCATTGGCCCGAGTAAGAATTTTTTTACTGCTTCAGACTTGGGCCTTTGGGCCAGACCCATTCAAATTTTCACAAAAGCCCAACCCAAGCCCACCCAAGTTGCATCCCTACCTACAACAATATTTATTTTAAACATCATGTTGAACTGTGTATTTCAATTAGACTGTCCAATGGCAATGACCACTGCCACGGAACAGGGGGCTCACCTTTGAGTACTCTGTGAAGAGCTAGGTTTCAGCAAAAGTGCAAAACAGTAAATCTTTCCTGATAGAAAGAGAAAGGAAGAGAGAGTTCAAGTGAAAGATCCAGCAAGGACTGATGTTGTCTTCTTCAGAGGAGCAGGAAAAAGAAGGGGCAAAGCAGAATGACGCAGATTGGGGAGATGATTTCAAGGAGAACATGGCATACGAAAAATTTAAACTGTTCGGAAAAAATCTCTGATAAGAAACCCAGTGTAAAGGAAACCCTTGAGAGGGCAAAAAACCTCTTGAAATTAGAAAGGGGATACAAGGTCAAGATGCTCAGTGGTGACATTCTAAGGTTCAGATTCAAAGCCAAAGATAAAATGGAGTTTCTAACCGTGGTTGATAAAGGAGTATCCCCTGTTGCGGAAAGAATGGGAGCCAGAAATGAATATCCAAGAAATGATCACCAACAAAATGAAGTTTTGGATCAGGATTTTAGATCTACCGGTGGAATCCATGACCAAAGCCATTGGAGAAAATCTCGGTAGACAGGTAAGTGAAGTAATCACAACTCGAGTTAGGAAAACAGAAGGAACGGAGAATGCCCACCTTTTTCTCAATGAATAAAGAAGAAAATTTTTATTAAAAAAAAAAGAAGATACAACTTTAATAGGTGTCAAGGTAACACCCGACCAAAGCTATGAAAACATGTTTATACAGGCTGGGATCTCAAGAACACCCCAGAAATTTTCTCCTAGATCTGCACTGTTAAAATGCTCAACTTCTGGTAGCCCACCTTGCTGGATTATTTCTCAGGGTAAGGGTGGAAATTCGCATCTTTAAACTGTTAGTGTGTGTTGTTCGTAGAATACTCTCAAATGGAACGAATAAATGGTATCCGATCCAGTACGAGAGGCTACTGGTGTTCTGCTACAAGTGTGGAAAGATAGGCCATCAACAGGAGAACTGTGAACAGTTCTTGGGGGCACATCTGGTGAATCAAGCAAATAACATAGTAGACACCCAAAAACTAGAGATAGGAATGGAAATCAAAGGTTATGGTCCCTGGCTCAAAGAGGAGGTCGGAAGTGAAGAACAGAAATTTATCAGTAATGAAGAGACAGCAGCGAGTCACAGGGAAGCCTGGCTGAACAGAACAGAAGGTTGGGCTATTCCAGGTTTGAAACAGATAGTTGTCTGTCAAAGTTCAACCTCTAAACAGCGGAAGACGGAACAAAGAGACAGACGTGAAGGGGAATTGATCAGAGCAAAAGGAAACAACAATGTTCAGCGTCAACTGTTTTCTGAGGTCTCTTCTCTGGCAAGCCCCATCAGGCCGGGGTTCCATGCAGGCACAAGTTTCGAAATCATGCTGTCACCAGTCAAGTCGATTGGTCATAGCGTCAGTAGTTACAATGGAGGCAGGCAATCCAGTGTGGCAAGTTGAGGGACTGGATTCTCACAAGTAATGCCAAACTTTCACTGTGGTGATTGAGCAAGGTACACATGGGTAAGGCCTAAAACAGCTCTCAGAATAGGAGACCAATTTGAACAAGTCCCCAGACAAACTCAGTTAATAGAGGACAAAGTACAAAATGCAAATAAAGGTTGCAAAGTTGAGGGGACTGGAAAATCTGATCAGAGTGATTCAGTTAATCACAAGTTGGGAATAGTGCTGGCTATAATAAAGAAAGATTAGGTGACGGCTGAGTGAGCAATTAAGCTATTTGGAACAGGATATGGTAATGGATGCGGGTCGGAAAAGAGCTCGACCGGAGTCTTCGAGCTCAAGTGATGCAGAAAGTCTGGTTGACCCAAAGAGCAAAAAGAAAGATTGGAATCGATCTGGATGAGACAGATTTTGTTCCTGACTCTCAGACTGTTGACAGCGAGAGAACGGTGGAAGGGGAGAAAACTCAGCAACCATCCGAGCTTTTCTGAGCTGGTGGGGCATGGAAAGAGAAGATAGTGCCAAAAGAAAGTGGTCAAATAAATACCCAGAACAACATGGACATCTATGCAGAACCAGCTGCAACGAACCAGATCAGTGAAGAGAATGCAACAGGGGAAATGGAGGTATGGACTTCGTACTGGTTAACTTTTGCAAGATGTTTTTATTTAATTGATAATACCAATGCATCTGTTGGTGTTTCAAGTAGCCAGTAACATGAATGCACAAATTTCCCCGAGTGG